CAAACGATGCCACAAGCGTGGCGGGCACTTGCCACCCGCTCCAGCCCCAGGCCGGGTGCCTCCCTGCCCCGCAGCTTTGAACGCGAGCGAGCGAGGCCCCCACCTGCTACCAGATGCCACTGGAAGAGGCCTGAGTTCATGAAGAACCATCAGCACATATGGACAAGTTCGAGAAAAGGAAATCATGGCAGGAGGAGCACTAAACGCAAACCAAAAACCCCAGCAAAGCAAAGGACGGCAGGCCTGGCAATGCCTTGGGTTCGTACATTTCATAAGAGTATGGCTTTGGAGAGACGCCGTCTGGCGGGAGGGCTGGACAGGGCGGCAGAGAAGGAGCGGAAAAGCCACGGTGAGCAGAAATGCAAGACTGGAAAAGAGAAGGCAGAGTGGGGGCCTTTGTCTTCCCCCAGATGCCATTTATGAGAGAAAAGGGAAGTCAAGACTCACTGCCGGCAGCGCTGGCGGGCTTGGCGGCAGAGAGAGTTACGTGAGTAGGGGTAGAAAGATTGGTTACGTCATGGAGCTGGCTGAGGACCGAAGACCGCCGGCGCACAGCACCCTGAAATGACCCGCTTCTCTTGAAGGTACTCACTACCTCCATCTGTGGGAGAGAAAACGAGATAAAGGTTGGCTTGCACTACGCTCCTGGCTACGGCAGGGGGCAGGGCTGGGCGAGGACAGGGGCCACACTGGGGACATGTCACCGCAGCAAGGCCTCAACTAGGTCAGCCCCGCTCGCCGGGAGCTGACAACGCTTTTGGCCAGGCCGTGACCGAGACAGGGTTTGCTGGGCAGATGCTTAGTGGTTGGGGTGTGTGGGGGGTTACACATGTCTCGAGGAGTTGTGTGCATTCACGCTCTGCTGTGTGCATTCAAGCCACTCGCCAGTCAGTACCTGTGTCTGCCAATACTGTTACTCTACTGCAGTAGCTCTCAACCTTTCTTTGCTGCCCCAACACACCTGAGGGATATGACACGCTGCCGTTAGCACAGGCTCTCTGGGGCAACTGCTCAGTGCGTCCCCGGAGGTCCTTCCACTGTCCTCGTCCCTGACACTCCAAGCAGGGGTTCTAGGGCCCGTCCCTACACCAGCCCACCCCACTCTGATGCAGGGAGGCTAGCACTCTGCTTCTGCCTAGGACCCTCAACAGAAAAGCGGAGGGGCTGAGGGCTAGAGTTAGGGTGCCTTGTCTGGACCCATGGACTTAAGGGCTGCGAGGGCTGGGGAGCAAAGCTCCCTTCTGCTTTGTCTCCACCCTTTAAGCTTCCCGCAAGTTGGAAGGGAAGTGAGTTTGCAAATGTGAGCACCCTGAGGATAAACCCAATGTCTTTGCATTT